GCAAATTTCCCATTTTAGTCTTTGGCCAGTTCAAAATCATCCTATCATCCCTCACAGCTGTCAACATTAAAACTGCAGAGATTTACAGAGCCTCCTTTCCAGATCGAGGTCCGGAGGAGGAGCTGCGTGCTGCGCGAGCTTTGACGGGAGGACCAGTGAGTTTGAAATCATCTTGGTGTTAAAGGCCTGGAGTGGGGGGAGGACATCAAATTCCAAAGCCTTAAGGTTTGGTAGTCCTTAGAAACGAGAAGTTTACGTCTGCTTCTTTGAATCTGTAAATTCTCGGGGACTACCACACACACAAACATAATAAATAAGTAGAAGAATGAGTGTCTTCAGATTATAAGCTAAAGGCCCCTGTTCTCTGCTGAAAAGGTGTAGGGAGAGGCATGTGTGAACCCACAGCATCTAGATCCAAAGAGAATGAACCCCCTTTACTTGTATAAAGTGAGTAAGGAGGCCAGGAAGGGGCAGGAAGAGATTTCTCCCCACTGCATCGTGGGATCATGCATTCCTCTGGACCAAGTCACTAAACACCAATTTGCTTGAATGATTTAGTTAACCTAAAAGAATGATCAAATTAATTTAAAACTCTGATTTCCTTAGGGTGCTTTTTTATTTTTCCCTGAAAGTAATGGGTGGTACTTACTTATTCCAAGCCCAGTCATTTTTTGGACTTAAAAAGTTACTCTTTTAGGGAGCACAACCAATGTGTAGTTGGACTTTTTTTAAGTTTCTACATGTCGATTTAGTGACACTGATTACATGCTTTGAGTTGTGCAACCATTCTCACCTTCTTTTTCTGAGTTGTTCCTCCTCCATTAACATAAACTCACTGCCCCCCTAAAGTTCCTGTCTAATCTTTTGAGTTGCTGTTGTCACTTTGATCCCATATAGATAGTTCTTAAAACAGCATAATGCTCAAGGCAGACCTTTTTTACTAGCTAAGCTAAACTACTATTTGGTTTTAAGAAGGTTATCAGGGGATATTTTTGGTTTAATGTTTAAAGATTATCTCAGGGCAATAGTTTCAGGGGTTCACCAACCTCCACGGCTCCAGAAAGTCTGGATTCCATGAGAATTTTAAATTCTGTTCTGCATTTTCCCCCTTTTGATCAGGATTCTGCTATAGAATCTTTGATCAAAATGTTCAGTATTGGTAGCCGGGCACCGTTCACAGTTCTTCTGGACTCATGATGGAGGAGGCAGTTGTCCATGGAGTCTATTAGCCACACATTCCATATCCTCCTCCTATTTCTGACTCCCCTTCTTCTGTTGCTCCAGGTGAAGAGAGACCAATTATTGTGACTTGGAGGCAGCTTGCAAGCTTTTGAGGGCCCAGGCACTACACAGTGAACTAGGAGGTAGAACAAAAGCACTTAAACCTGTTATTAGGCCACTTAACTGGGATGTCCCATGAAACCATGACCCTAAGCCTCCAAACTAAGGAACCAGACCCCATAGGTTTTTAGTTGTACATAAGCAGCCTCAGCAGCTCCTTTTTTTTTCCCCCTTGTCATTGTTACATCTGTCACATAACTTCTGCCAATTCCACTTTTTACAGGTGTACAACTTACTGACAGCACTTAAAATAATCAGCTGTGCAACCCTACCCTTAATCAGTGCAATTTCTTTTAACCCTCTTTTCCCCCTCCCTCCCATCCCTGGTAACCACTAATAAATTTTGGTCTCTATACATTTGCCTTTTTTTGTCTTTTTATATAAGTGAGGTCATACAATATTTGTCCTTTTATGATTGTCTTATTTCACTCAGCATAATGTCTTCAAGCTCCATCCATACTGTAGCATGTATCAAAACTTCGTTTCTCCTACTGGCTGAGTAGTATTCCATTGTATGTATATACCACATTTTGTTTATCCGTTCCTCTGTTGATGGGCATTTAGGTTGTTTCCACCTTTTGGCTATTCTGAACAGTGCTGCAGTGAACACTGATGTACAAGGCTCTTTTTGAGTCTGCTTTCACGTCTTCTGGGCGTATACGTAGAAGCGGAGTTGCTGGATCATATGGTAGTTCTATTTTAAGTTTTTTGAGGAACCACCACAATGTTTTCCACAGCGGCTGTGCCATTTTGCATTCCCACCAGCAATGGATAAGGCTCCAATTTCCCCACATCCTCACCAACATTTGTTATTTTCTGTTTGTTTTTTTTTTTAATCTCAGCCATCCTAGTGGGAGTGAAATGGTGTCTCATGATGGTTTCGATTTGCATCTCTCTGATGGCTAACGATGCTGAGCATTTTTTCATGTGTTTGGTGGCCACCTGAATGTCCTCTTTGAAATGTCTATTCAAGTCCTTTCTCATTTTATGCTTAGGGTGCTTTTTAATGAGGAAGAATTTTTAATTTTAAAAACTAGAAATATAAAAACCTAAGACTAATATTTTTATTTTAAAAGCTAGAAGTAAAAACGGAAAATTGCTATTTTGAAGAGACACATGCCATTTGAGAAATGGGTGTAAGAATTCTTTGAAAATGCTCAAAGTGTGAAATAGCAGAAACTTTCAGAGCACCCAAAAGAATTCTGCTTATTTAGGAAATGCTGACATTTTCATTGAAAAGTATGTTTGGATTCAGTGTCATTTGTTTTGCTACCCTTTAACGTTTTTTAGGATTCCTTCTGCAGTTTCTCAAGTAGCATAATAACCTTAATTTAGTTAATATTCAAAAGAACATATTTGAGTCTCAAAGCCAAAATGGAACATTACTGATAAGGTTACAAATACCATTGGAAATGTGGGGATTCAGGGAATCGGTCATTTGGCAAATTAGCTTTTTATAAACTGGTTTTTCCTTCCTTTTGATGGGATAACAGTCACTGTGCTTGTATGCTGCAAGGTAATGAGTTGCTTGGGCTTAAGTAATGAGGCAATGTTTTACGGAGCAATGAGGAGCATGGACTTTAGTCAGACAACTCCAGGGATGGATGCCCAGCTCAAATGCTTCCTGGACAGGGGACCTTGGGCACTGTGCCTCACCTCTGAGCCTAAGGTTTTCACACAGAATGAGGAAGATGCCATCTTCCTGCAGGACTGTCCTAAGGACTAAACAAAATAATGTAGTCACCCACAAAGTGCAATATCAGACACGATGCAAGTATTCAGTTAAGTGGCAGCTTTTGTTATTACTATGTGAGACAGAATTTTTAAGAAGCCTATTGTCCAGGTAAATGGCTGAAATACTAGACTACAGTGGAGCTGGCATTAATAGTAAGGTTTGAGAAGTGGGAACACATTCCTTGAATTCTATCCTTGAAACGTTCTTTTTTAGATGATTAGCATTTATGATGCAAAGACAGAACAACTTCGCATAGGACCGTATTCCTGGATGCCATTTCCACATGTGGATTTCTGGTTGCAGCAAGATGATAAGCAAATACTAGAGGTAAGAATTTACAGGTTGGGCAACTCTTAACTCTTGGAACCCTGGTTTCTTCATCTGTAAGAAAAAAAAGGGTTCAGGCTAGATAATAGCTGCTTTTCCTTCAGCAGAGAGTACTTATTTTTAGGATGCCATTGGCAGACCCCGTTTAACTTAATTAGGGATAAGAAGTAATGTCCTAGTTAGAAATACGCAGGTGAAGCAGTAAGCAACCAACTGCTTTTTCTCATTAATCCAGCACCTCATTTCTTATGTAATTTTACACTTCATATACATACATATATACTTACATATAGTATTCCAAGAACATCCTACTCAGTGTTTAAAGAACACAAAGATACTTTATTTGACAGCTATATCAAAGTAGGGAAAGAGTGAGGTTGCTCTTCTCTTATGCCCATAATCTTATTTTCCAGAACCTTTCCACTTCACCTCTGGCTGAGCCCCCCCACTTTGTTGAACACATCAGATCTACCTTGATGTTTTTAAAAAAAAATCCATCTCCAACTAACACACTGTTTCCTGGAAATAAAGCTCTACTCTACAAAAAAAATGAAGATGGTTTGTGGGAAAAGATCTCTTCTCCACGAAGCTAAAACCAGGAACTACCAAAGAAGGCAACTTTTTGGCATGACAAATACAGCTGGTAGGGGTTGGAAGAATGTGAACTGGGAATCTACACTCTGAGGCTTAGGTCTCCTTACTCAGTGTCTTTCAAATGACTTTCAAAATAAAATGTTATTTTGGCAAAGGCATTTGTTTAGATTTCCTTTTTGCTTTACTAAAAAGTTGCAGAGGAAAAAGAAGCTACCTGTCTGTGTTCTGTAAGCAGCTGTTCAGATACTTGGGTAAGTATTTCTACTTCTCTTAAATTAGTGGGTAAATTTTAAAATTACAGTAGAGTTTGTGAGGAAACTATTTAAAGCAGTAAAATTCTGTGAGAATTTATACATCTCACAGATTTTTTTTAGCCCCAAAATATTTTAGAGGCTTAATCTCTAAAATTGATGATCTATTATGAGGTTAAATTTACTCTCTGAGAGTTACACAAAGCCACTGATGAATCTGTTCTTTTAGATGTAAGAGCACTGAAATGCCTTAATTGTGGTTATTATGTAAGTTATCTTTTTAGCTTTTATTTTTCTGAAGTTGCTATGGAAAAGGAGGTCAAATGAGAGCACACAGAAAGGTTCATATAGTAACGATGGCCAGTTAATAGTAAGATTTATCAACTGAACTCACGGGTAACAATTTCAAGAACCTTTATTGAAACCAACATTCATAGTATCTCAAGGGTGAAATTTTGTTTCAGCAAAACCGATTTAACAGTTTCAAATATAAAAACATTTAAAAATTAATCTTGTTAGAGGTGATAATTTACCCCTCCCCCATTTTATCTGCTATACTTCATTGCACCAAATAAACAAAAAGGGAAGACTTTGTTTAATCATCTGCACCAAAACAATACAAAGGAGAAAAAAGCTGCACTTGGGTGAGTGCCAAATGTCAGTAATCACAGCAAACCCGAGTGTGATTATAGGCTTCATGTGGTCTAAGGCTTCCCATGCTCTGGTCCACACACCCGTGTGACTTCCCACCAGCTTAAGATCTCCCACAGCGGACTCTGCTGGACTAAAAAGGCACAGGGGCCGTTACTTAGGATAAACAAAGTGATGCAGTACTTCTGCAAAGGTAGAAATGGGCAGTAATTAAGAGCTTGCTTCCAACTATTAATAGTCTAGCTTCATCAGTCTAAGAAAGATTACTTTTCTGTTCTGGTTTCTGAGTTGGGCCCAAAGAGGTGAGCTGCTAACGGAACAGAAGCTGCAGAAGCTTCATAGACTTGAGATAGGTCTGAGATACATTTATTTTAGAGTTTACACTTTTAGGTGCTACACAGCGTATTTAATATTAGGTTCTTAAGGGCAGCATCTTTCAGGTGTTCAGATATTAAACATAGAAATGAGCACAGTCTGTACTTGTGTGCCAATTTAAAAGCTTTACCAGTATTTAAAAATATACATATACATATATATATATATATATATATATATATATATATGGTCAGGAAGACTTTACAGTTATTCTTAATAGAGAGGAGTCCTCGAATTTGTTTACAAATAGTACATGAAAGGAGAAATGGATTTGTGGCAGAGGAACGTCGCTCACAGAAGTGCTGTCCAGTCTAACTTGCTTGGTTACCCTGCCAAAGCTTGAGTGGACACAGTCCTTACTTAAGTCTCCAGGAAAAGCAGCAGTTGGGGATGGCAGGAGAGGGCTTCCGACACTCATTTACAAACCTACTGAAGTCCATTCTCCATTAAGCCAACACAATCCAGCTGTATATTGCAACCTGCTCCAACTAAACACCAAATGAAACAGGTGGCAAAGAATGTGGTCTGCCCACCTCCTCCTTGCGGGAGTCCAACAGAGAACCTGGAGAGTTCTGAAGAAGCTGATGTACCAAAAAGTTATTATGTGCAACCTAAGAACTTAATGTTCAGACAGGTAAGAGCAAGTGTTTCAAGTGGCAGGCACCTGCTAAGTGTTTTCTGTGACTAAAAAGTGTTTATGGTAATTTAGGGGGAAAATGGAGTTACTACAGCTGGGTAGGACAGAAACAATAGTTGATGGTTGTTCTACATGCACAAAATTAAACATTGACTGCCCACCTAGAACGCCTGGCTTTCAGGTACATGTTTGTGCAAAAATCCATGAAGCACAATAACAGTAATTCCTATTGTATTAGGATGTGGCACAGTTCACATTTTCAATATAACGTCATCTTCCCTGAAACAATACCCAGTACAGTCTCAAACCCAGTACTGACTTTTATCTTAAGCTCTCCGGTTCTTCTACCTGTGGGCAGTCATCTTCTGGGTGCTGGGCCTCCTCCTGGAGGGCCTCACTCTGGTCTGCTTCCTGAGGGCTGGCAGCCTCTGGGGTGTCTTGCTCTGGCCCAGTGGACAGGTGCTCCATCTTTTCTAAGTCTTCAATGTGACTGACCGAGCTTGTCTCACTCATCACATCTGAGCCTCTTAGGGACTTTTTAAAAGGCTTCTGGCCTAGAAGAAAGATTGGATGACCAGCACGGAAGCTCGGTAAGGGACACTTCCGCAACAAAAGCTCTCTGCGCAATGAGCTATTGCTTTAATGCTAACTGCAGAAGTCCCGAAAATTACTGGCTCTGAAGCCTTTTAGGAGATGGCGAGAGAAATGAGCGCTGATATTGTGGCACTCACATGCCCCAAGGCTGGGGACTTCTGAGGTAACCTTAAGAAAAGCTCAGGATAGTAAACAGCACAGTGAGACGTGATGTCATCTCTCAAGATCCCAGCTTCCCCTTTGAAGTGCACGAGGTTTCTTCAACACTAAATCCCTTGGCTACGGTTACTTAACAAAACAGTGATAGCTGGTCTGAGATGAAGATATTCTTGGGGTTAAGGAACCAAGAAAATGAAGGAATCCAAGTAACAGCAAACTTGAGGGAAAACTGTTACATGATGCAAAGGTTTATTTTCCCAAGAGAAATCCAACTGATTTTTTCCAATGTTAATTAACATACCTGGAAGTCTTTGTTTAGTGCGAGTGCCTGAGGGGGTTGGAGGTGGCGTCACTCCCATGCCTTGTACTTTGGAGACATATGTATGTTCTGTGGACTCCAGAGAGCCTGCCAGGGAAAGAAAGCAGGGTAGGTGGTGGCTCTTAGCACAGGCTGCCCTCACTCAGCCTTGTTAACTGATAAGCTGCTTTCAGCCACTCAGCTCCTAAGGTGTGCCACAGCTGTGCTCAGAAGTCCCAGCCCTGCTGGATGCTTTATCCTTCCACTCCCAAGAATCCTCAGTACAGCTGAAGACAGGCAGCCAGCAGTGTGGCACAGCATGCCTGGGGACCTGGGCCCAAATGGGAACTGTATTTTAGCAACAAAAAATGAATGTATCTTTGCCAAAGGCTGAGGTTTGGCTGATTAAAAATCAGATTATTTTTTTCTATCATATGACAGTGTAGGCATCATTTCCTGGGGAAGGAATAACGGAAGGGACCTCAGGTTTAGGAAATTATTTCCTTGACAGAACACCAAAGAAAGGAGTCATGTAGTTTAACATCATCTCCAAATCTCAACAACTGTTAATATTTGCTGGCTGCTTGCTTTGAAATCAAATGTTTCCGTGCTCATGCAATCTTTTAAAAGCAGCCCCTTGCTGAGGCAAACACTGAACCAAAACACCCAAGACACATTGTCTTGAGCATCTGAACAGCTGAATGAACATGTTGCTCACGGATTCAAGGAAGATGCATCTGCTTGCTGTAGGGAACAGGTATCTGCTTTTGCACTACTTGAGCAGTCGGGTGGGAGAAGGGAGTAGAATGAGTCTTGTCTCCATAGGTTCCTGGCACAGTGGTAAGACACTGGGACGCAAGGACATTTGGTCAAAACTCTCACTGTTAATGAGATCAGGGCCAGTCTAGTTAGTCCTACCTGCTGTTAAGTTAAAAGTTCTTCCTTTTTGTGAAGGTTGTAATGGAGAAAACCAATTCAGCACGGATCCTACTACCGGGATCTGCCGTAACACTCCCTGCAAAACATAACCCATTATTCAAGGTCATCTTGTCGAGTCCGCTTCCAGCCTGACGCTGGTTGGGAAGTCCAATCTGCAGCCTCACCTCTTCCAGAAGACGTTCCTCATTTGCCTTCTGAAGTTGAACCTGAGCTTCCTGAATTCCTTTCCGAATAACTTCAGTCATGTTTTCCAGAAGCTGTGTGAAGACCAAGAAAGGCATTACTCATCTCAGCTTCTTCCCTGGCATCTAGAAGAACTATTAACACAGCGCTGGGACATTTTTCAAAAGCATGTCGGTAAATGAAATTCTCCGTTTTTAAAATGCTCCAGGAGGCCTAGGCGGACATACCTTGATGACCAGCCTCATTTGCTAGGGAACAGAGAGGAGGATAATTGTACCTACAATCTGAATGCCATGTCAACAGCAAACAGACACACTGCTCAACGTTCGTGGAAATGACGCCAGAACAGAGTTGGGTTTTGAAGGAACTTGAAGTCCACCCAAGGGTGAATAAAGCTGGCTCCTTCGGCCCCATTTCCAACTCCCTCCTCTTCCCCGCCCCTGACACATTTCTGACTCTTCTCTGACTAGTCTTGCTACGGTCCTTTTTCTATTTGATTTCTAGTGAATCAAACGTCTGGTTTGGAGAAGGTCCTTCAAGCTTTGTGGCCTGGTTCTCCATGCCAACTGGCTGATAGAAGCAGGTCTGTTACTGCTGGGAAGCTGCATTACCTGAAATACCTGTCTCATTCATTCTTCTGGATCCAGCTCTAAGCAAGAAGTCTTCCCTGACCTTGTCAGGCAGAGGTGAACATGTCTTCCTTAACGCTCAGCTACCCCTAACTTCTCCTTCACAGCATTTATGACATGGCTTGGTAATATGTATCTCTTTTCCCCACTGGTCTGTGAGCTCAGGGACTGTGTCAAATCTACCTTGTATTCCTAATGCCTGGCATGCTGCCTAGCTCACAGGAAGCATTTAAAATTGGGGGGGAAAGAATGAAGGGACAGACATTTCCAAGGGTAGCTTCTTCCTTCATGACCCCAGCTGGTTGGCTGGGAAAGCTCAGAAAAGGAATGCAGCACTGATGAGTCTTACAGACCCTTGAGTTTTCCTCAATTTCTCGGGCTGTGACTGCAATGGTCTCCACTAGTTCGGAAACATCTATGTCGTCACTGGCCATGCCAATGTAAATACAGCTCTTCATACTTCTGTACTCAGGGCCTGCAGGAAGAAACAACAGACAGACTCGGTTCCCAAATCCTGTCATGAGTCAGACACAGGCCCGCTTTCCTGCACGACAGTGTGACAGTGCAAAAAGGAGTCTCCTTTGGGGTGGGGGTGGAGAGGCAAATGGCTCACATAAGGGGAGGGGAAGCCCCTGAGAGGCTGCAGACGGAGAAGGGAGATGTCTGCCCCTAGAAGAACTCCACCTCCACCTGGAACAAAACCAAAGTTTCCTCCAAAGACAGAAAACCTATTTTCCTTTAAGCCAGTTAGAAAATGTCCTTCCAAAGATCATTGTTGACTTATAAAAGCAGTAATTACCCATTTTAAATGTAAGGTCAGATTCCAGTTCATTTAACTTCTTCAGGAGTCCAGCATGGATTTTTTCCCCTTCAGGATCAGACTTCAAACTGCTTTTATCATCATTAGCGTGTTCATACCTACAAACAATATCAAACAACAGTGTTTCAATCTATAGAGATCAAATGTCTCTTCAGACATAGGATTTAGGTGGAATAAATGAATGTGAAACAAGACAAATAGGAACTGGAGCCACTGATAGTGTCTCAAGACCCAACACTTTCAAGACTATCACAAGGAAAGCCTAAGTCTTTCTGTAGATACATAAAATTTAGAAAAGAGGTGAGGCCTGGTAGTCTCATCATTTGCAATATTAAAGATAAAGGAGACTTGCCTCATCCTTGCAGAAGACGGGCAGCAGCATGGATGGACTCATGAGACTGAGCTAGAAAAGACAGGGAGTCGTCTCTGGCCAGGGAATTGAGTTCTTTCTCTTACTGATTTGTCAATTACCATCTCCTCCTAGTAAAGAGCTGGCGCAGAAAGACGTGACATACAGTGACTCCTACCTTAAGGGGGCCACATGCTCAGCAAGTGCAATGGTGGGCCACATCGCTTGCTGCATTGTGCTTTTTTAAATGCCCAGAAAATCGAGATGAATTTTCATTAGACGTGTATACTGTGACTCCACGTGTCCACACAGGATTTCTAAGCTTGTCTGCAAAATGACCTATCTATGTTCTGTACACCCTTTGGCTACTAGCTTTTAAACCTTTACCTGACCACCCCGATTCCAGGCCAGTTAGGGTCATCCACGTGTAAGAGGCCTGCTGTTCCTTCCACCTCCTGCTTGAACTCTTCTCTCAGCTGCAGCGTACAGGTCAAGACTGGCAGCTTGCTTTTTATGGAGGCAACAAGCTGATCCACATCCTCATTCTGAGTTCCTAAAACTGAAAGTGTTCACAGAATGTTAGGAGAAATAAGAACTGAAAAATGAGAGAGGGCGGGGTTCCCACTTCTGCTATCAGAAAGAGCAAAAGCTCTACGTACATCCAATTAGCTGGAGCTGAGCAGCTTTAAAAAAAAAAAAAAAAAAAGCCGCTAAACCCAGATACAGAAGAATCGGGTGTTAAAAATTAATACAGCAGGCTGCTCCAGGCACAAAGACAGTGTTTTCTTACAGAGAAGGTAGGATTTGCCCCTCCGATTTAATACACAGTGAAATGCTCTCATTAAGAAATCAGATTCTTCTCACAGAATCTGCTTTAGTCACGTTATAAACATCCTGTCACAGGCTAACACAAAATGGCAACCACCCGGTTCTCTTTTTACATAAATATGACTGAAAGAATGGAGAGTACTTTGGTGGGTTTGTGGCAGGAGGGCAGGAGGGGCAGGGTGACGAGGACCAGGTATCCACTTCATTTCTGCAGGTCAGAGCTTGGGAAGTCTAAGGGCTTCGGCGATCCAAGAGGGTTGCCAACATGACTACTCAATCCAAACATTGTATATGATTTCACTAAGCCTCAGTATATGCCGCCACAGGGTGTCCTTTGCCTCTAGGGCGAGGGAGAGAAGGCAAGGCCACAGTGTACATCAGGAACCTAGACTAGACGACTCTCTGAGACCACCAGCAATCAGCAAGTGCTCGGGTCCCATGATTATGAAGTGACTAAGTAGGGGACATGCACGCAGGATTATCAGTCATAATAGGTCACTGGGAGAGAAAACCAACGGTCACAAGCTATCAAAACACAGGAATTCAACTGACTTCAGAAGTCTGGTTCTTATCTTAAGAAGTTACATTAGAAGGCAAATCTACTTAAATTCAGCACAAAAGAAAAGTCTCTCTAAGAAAAGATGCCAATAACAACAGAATACCTTAAGAGGAAGCTGGTCAGTCCCAACAGCTTGGGCTTTGCTAGACCTGTGATTGCGCCTTACCAAAACAAAGCGCCCAGGGGAAGGGAATCCGCTGAGACAGTTACCTCCTGCTGTCATCAGAGGGCTGAACCGCACACACACGCCCTCCACTTCCAGGTCTGTGACGGTGAGGCCGCTTGCCGGCACCAGCTGTTTCAGCTGTTCTCCCAGCTGCAGGGAAAGGCAGGCAAACAGGCTCCAGCACCGAGGGAGCCGAGGGAGCCGAGCATCTTCCAGACCCGCCCTCACCCACTCAGCCCCAGACCAAAGAGGCTCTCAGAGGGCTCTTCATCTTTTGATCCTCTTTGAATACTTATGGCGCTTTCTTTTTTAAAACAGTAAATTTTACATTTTTTTCTCACTAAAAAAAAAATGTAAGTTCACTGGAGAAAAATCTAGGAAATACAGGTAAACCGAAATAATAAAATAAAAATTACCCATACTACACCACTCAGAAATACCCACTCTTGACATTTTGGTATACTGCCTCCTGGGTCTTTTCTCTATGTGGGAGTGAGGGGGTGTATGTGAGGGGTGTATGTATATTTTATTGTTAAAAAATGGGAAATTCTACCCACTGTTGAGTTGCCTGTGGTTTTTAAATGTAATTTATGATGACCATTCCCTCTGCCTTAAACATTCAGCTCCATGTTTTCAATGACTGTTTTGAGCCCCAGTACATGGATGTAGCGTAACTTACTCACCAAATCCCCTGGGCTGGGCACACCCAAAGTTTTGCTAAGATTAAGACTGCTGTGGTAATGTTGTTTCGAACACCTATGATTAATTCCTTAGGCTAAACTCCTCCAGATACAATTCTGGTGTCAAAAGGTGGCCAACACATGAAGCCTCTGCTCCACACTGCAGGCTGACAAAGGTGTTCAGGGGACTCTGGCTTATGTGCCTTCTGATACCACTACAGAACGCTCACCAGAACTCCAAAGCAGCTGCATCATAGTAACTATTTTGCATGTTGTTTTACAGCCTTCCAAAGAAAGCCAAGCCCGTTGCTGTGGAGTTGATTCCCACTCATAACGACCCTATACGACTGAGGAGAACTGCCCCACAGGGTTTCCAAGGAGTGGCTCATGGATTCGAACTGTTGACCTTTTGGTTACCAGACGAACGTTTAAACCGCTGTGCCACCAGGGCTCCTTTACAGCCTTACATAGCAGCAAGGAAATGGTCACATAGGCAAACTGAGGAAACTAAGTTGAAAGGGCCTGCCAGAGGTCACACAGGGTGTGAGGTAGTGATCTGACGAAGAAGGGAACCCCAGAACCCAGCACCTTCACAGGCACTTCCTGACTTCCTAAACATAACAATGCAACACCATGGTGCTGATGGTCAGATGCTGAGGCTCTGCACGTAAAAGAAAAGGCAGACACGACTGCCATCCTTACCCAGCGATTCAGTGCATCACAGGAGTGCCCCTCCTGGCCGGCTGCTGAAGGTGCCATGTTGGGTGCTGGTACAGCTTTAGGCCCTGAATCTGACCCCAGAACACAGAAAGGGGAGTCACTCCCAGAAACACAGCTCACCAAAACAAACATCCCTCCAAATACCATTTTACTTAGATCCCAATATTAACTCAAGAGAATATTCTCAAATATTACTGAAATCAAATGTATATCTGACAGAGTTTAAAGTCTGTGCACTTTTTTTCTCATGAAAAACATAACACCTGAATACATTCATAAAAATAGAATTCTTAAATTTCATCTCAAAAAAAAAAGTTTTCTTCCAAGGAATTTCAAGAGAAAACCAAAGTGTAAAGTTTTAAGTTAACAACTAGTCTAGCAAGCACTGTGCCAGGTAAATCAGAGTACCCAACAGCATGCAAGTAGGGCTTCACAGAGATTTATTCCTTCACTCGTTGAATGGCTCAAATGCCAGCTCACGACAGACACTGTTAAGCCCTTGGGACAGACTGTAAATAAGGCAGACAAGGTTTTAGTCATCTTGGAGTTTACATTTTAGTTAAGGAAACAGACCATAAAGAAGAAATAAAGTCACTCTATATTGTTAGTCCAACGAAAGAAGGCAGGGGCTCTGATCTAATGGAGTCACTTTAGACATGACAGACAAGGAAGGAGGTGGACATTTAGTTGAGACCTCAATGGTAAGAAAGCACCAGCCGTAAGGAGAGCTAGGGGAACGTGTCTGAGGCAAGCGGAAGAGCAAGTACGGAGGCCTTGCACTAGGAAAGAGCAAAGTGTGTTCTAAGAACTCAGAGAAGATCAGTCTGACTAAAGCACAATGGCCGAGAGGGAAAGCGGCAAAAGATGATGCCAGAGAGCATGGCCGGGGCGAGAACGTGCAGGCTTTATGGGGAATGGCCAAGAGTGTGGACCTCAGTCAACACACAGAGTAAGATACTGGAGGGCTCCGAGCAGGGAAGTGACACCATGTGACTTTCACTTTAACACGCTTGCTCTGACTGCCATGTGGAGAATGGTGGGATGAGGGTGTGTGGGATGTATGGAAGCAGGAGACTGGCTAAGAGCTGACTGTGGCCAGCTAGGCGAAAAATAATGGTGGCCTGGATGAGGTTGGTGGCATTTGGAACATTCTTTAAAAACAGAGGTTTCTGGGTTCGCCCTACTGAATAAAAACATCTGGGCCATAGGGCCCAAGAATCTGCGATTCTGTTTCAGTCATTCCAGCACCAGTCCAGGAATGGGCATTTGGGAACCACTGGCTAATCACAGGAAAGTATCAGAAAAATACTGACATGCTCAGAACTGGCATTCTTATGAAAACTCTTCAATTTTTCTCAAATGATGACTGAAGATTTTAGTAATAATAAAGATATTTTAGACTATCTAACTTGAGATGTCTTCAAATTCAAAGCCTTTACACAAAACACATGAATAACCATCTTTTTAAAATCACCTACCTGAGCCTGGTAATTCCTGGAAAAATCTGAACACCACTACCGGGGAACTGAGCTCATCTTCCACCTGAAAAATGAAAGTCTGATGTTACCAAGTAACATAGCAAATTCCCTACAGTGAGTTTGAAAATGAGAAGCTATATTTTTGTTAATGAATGCATAAAAATGTCCAAAGGTTAATTTCAATCGCTAGAGAAACAAAAATCAAGGCTTCAGTAAAATTCTTAGAAATAATTATGAACCACTTCCAACAGTACAATGTTGAATTATAAGATTAATTTAAAATTTTACACTGGTACATTGAAACTAAAGCAGAAGGGAATTTTAATAATAATGGATAAACCTAGGTCTCACCGGGCTGCTAACCAAAATGTTAACAGTTCGAACCCACCCAGTGGCTCCAGAGGAGAAAGACCTGGCGATCTGCTCCTGTAAAGATTACAGCCTAGAAAACCCTATGGGGCAGTTCTATTCGGTCACATAGGGTCACTCTGAGTTGAAAATCAACTCTATGGCACCCAGAAACATAAAAGGATCAAAGAAGGCAATGGAAAGGGAAAACAGAATCGGTGCTGAAGACAGCCGATGCTTTCAAGAATTCCAGAAATTATGCCGACCCAAGGAGGATGGACTGGAACTTCCTATACTCATAGCAAAAAAAGAGAACAAGTACTTTCCTCTCATCTTGGAAAACTCTCAGGATGTGAGTCCTGCTGGCAATGTAGTTAACTGCAGTCAGAACTGAATCTATGTATTTTCTAAATCACTAAAGCAGTATTTATATTCACGATGGGCATCAGACAACTAACTTCATTAATGGATTTCATGAACAGATGAAAACATTTATTGCACTGAGATCATCCAGCACTAAGTTCATGCTCTCCACTGAACAAATCTATAGTCAGCTGTCAGCTCCATCATGGGGTCAGGACAGAAGGGAGTGCTAATTCCCTTGATAGACTTTGTGGTAATCTTTGTTTTGGGGGGGTGTACCTCAGGGAGCAGATCTCTAAGCAGACGACAATTCTAGTATAATTCCAGTCACAAAACCAAGACCGTTCCAAGGCTCTGAGTGTGATGACTCATTAGTACGGTCACAACAGGAAAGCTAACTTGGAAAGACAGGAAGTAGTTGGCCCCAAATCTTCTCTACTAACTACTGAAACGACAGTGTGTATGTGGTTCATATCAAGCAAGATTTACATTCAAATCTGCCATTTATTGAGCCAGTTCCTGCACTAAGTGCCTTCTCACATCTATTATCTTCTTTAACTTTCACATAAACAAATCTATTAATATTTTTAAAGTTATGGGGTCATAATGTTGAAATAGAATGAAATAAGCCCAACAACCAAGTAGGAACAAAAAAGACAACAAAAACCTCTATCCATTCGCCCATCCCAGGTTAGGGTAAGTCAGAATGATCTGAATGCCAAGACTTCTATATATAGCCTTCTGTTTCTTTCTTTGAGCTCAGTAGTCTCAAATGTCAGTGTGCATGAGAAACACTGTGTTGTTGTTAGGTGCCACTGAGTTAATTTTTGAATTGTAGCAACCCTATGTGACAGAGCAGAAATGCCCCAGAGGTATTTGGAGGCTGTAATCTTTATGGGAGCAGATCTCCAGGTCCTTCTCCTGCTGAGCGGCTGGATGGGTTCGACTCGCCCACCTTTTGGTTAGCTGTCAAGTACTTAACTGTTGCGCCTTAAGAAATACTGTACAGGGCTCCTTAAGAAATATTGTACAGGGTGATATATGTAAATTTCTGGTTCTAGCAACATGGTAGACGGCGCTAACACTGAAGTCATCAGTTCTAAATACCTGAAATGTTGGATTAAATATAACTGATAACCAAAGAAAGTTTAAACTATTGCTAGGCTCACAGAAGTTAACTCCAGAAATGAAGAGAAAACGTAAAGAAGCCTGGAAAATGTGTAAGCTGAGCTGCAGGGGCTGGGCAGGATAAGCACGTATGGGGCCTGGAACTTGGCTTTAATGGCTAGGGTCTTGGGTTTTAATGCCCACGGGAGAGACAGGAGACAAAGCCTTGGGACCAAGACAGGTGGTGGTTTGGAGAGTTATTAAGCATCCTGCATAAAGCCAGGACCCCTAAGGAATACTTCCTATGAAAGGAGGAATAAAAAAACTCCATCCATTGCCCAGTAAGAAAGCTTAATAATGCCCAAGGCTGTAGATAGGGAGAAAAAATTCTCTCATGAGAAATCAAAATATCAGGTGTGCACTACACTTGAGTTTGATGCCCTATGTGGTTTAAGACTCCCGAAGCTGTGAAATTAACATAAATGAATGGACACACGTCAGTCAAACTCCTGAAACACCTAGCAGAAACAAATGCAAAGCTATACTTCCACAACTCAGACTGCATACAATCCCCACAAGAAAAAAAATACCTAGCCTACAAGAAAAAATTATAAGACCCAGGGAGCAAGAGTCACAGACACAACTAGGAGAACAATTTGTGCCACTCAAAACTGAGATACTAGTACTACAGTTAGCTATTACAGAGCTGCAAATCAAAACTACAATGAAATACCATCTCGCCCCTGCAAAAATGGCGATGATCAAAAAACAATAAACAACAAATGCTGGCAAGGTTTGTGGGGAGATTGGAACTCTTATACACCGCTGGTGGGATTGTAAATAGTACAACCACTATGGAAAACGGTTTGGCACTTCCTCAAACTGCTAGAAATAGAAATACCTTCTGATCCAGCAATCCCACTCCTAGGTATATATCCAAGAGATACGTAAGAGCAGTGACACGAATAGATACATGCACACCTATGTTCACTGCAGCATTATTCACAACAGCAAAAAGATGGAAACAACCTAAGTGCCCCTCAAGGATGAATGGATAAACAAATCGTGGTACATACACATAATGGAATACTATGCAACTATAAAGAATAATGAGGAGTCTGCGAAACATCTTCCAATATGGATGAATCTGGAGAACATTATATTGAGAGAAATAAGTCAATCACAAAAGGACAAATACTGTATGATCTCACCATTATAAAAAGTCAAGAATAGATATACACACAGAAAGCAAAGTTCTTTGATGGTTAGCAGGAATGTGAGGGAGAGGGAGAGGGAAGGGGAATCACTTTCTAGAAAGTAGACACCTGTTACTTTCGGTTATGGGAAAGGCAATCCCAAATACGGGTGAGGTCAGCACAACGTGACCAAGGTAAATAAAGACACTAAGAAGTACACAAGAAAAAGGGACAATTTCAATAAATGCTATAAAATATACAATTTTGCAACAACAGTAATAACAACCAAAAATTATGTGTGGTTATGTAGGAAGATATGTATACATATATGTACACAGGAAAGCATATGCAAGTAAATGCAGATGCATTTAGGTGTATCTGTAGGCATATGTATATACACGTTTGTGTGTGCTGCATATATATCCATATATATAACAAAGCACACAGGGGGTACGATTATGGAGGCTTCCTAGACATATCCAAACAACTCACGGGATTGATTTACTGGGTTAAAAGGTTTAGGACCATAGTTTCAAGGGACAACTTGATCAACAGGCGTAGCATAGTACATAAAGATAATGTAGTTTGGTAAGTGTCATCTGAGGTCTTAAAAGCTTGTGAGCAGCCATTTAAGATACAACTATTGGTCTCTATTTGTATGGAGCAAAAAACAATGAAGGAAATCAAAGGCTCAGGGAAGAAACTACTCCATGGGACTAACAGCCACATAAACCACAGCCTCTTCTAACCTGACACCAGAACTAGATGGTGCCCTGCTACCACTACCAACCATTCTGACCAGGGACACAACAGAAGGTCCCAGATAGAATGGGAGAAAAATGTAAAACAAAACTCAAATTCCTAAAAAAGGCTAGGCCTACTGGACCAACAGACACTAGAGGAATCCCCCGAGACTATCACCCTAAGATACTCTTTTAACTTGGAACTGAAGCTATTTCTGGAGGTCACCTTTCAGCCAAATAACAGATTGGCTTATAAAATGAACAATATCACCCATGAGTAAATGTGCTCCCTTAAACAATTAATAATATGAGACCAAACTGTCAACATTTACCCAAAGCAAAGGTGAGACGGCAAGGAGGGGAAAGGAAACTAGATCAACGGAAACAAAAAAACAGAACGGAAATAATGTGAATGCTGATACGCTGTGAAAATTTTGACTGATGGTACAGAACAATTTGCATAAAAATTGTTAAACAGGAACCTAATTGGCTGTGTAAACTTTCACCTAAAACACAGTATTATTAAAAAAAAAAAAAGAAAAAGATGGTTAAAGAAAAGAGAGAATGACTTAAAAAAGAACTAAGGAGAACACCCTAAAATGAAAATAATGAGTTAATGAAATTAAAAACACAACGAATGGGCTAAATAGCAGATTAGAGGCAAAAGGAAGTTATTAAACTCAAAGATAGATCTGAAAAAAACTAACCAGAAGGCAGCAGAGAGATAAAGAGATGGAAAATATCACAGAAACTAATGGGATAAGGAATGATAAAGTTCCAGAAGGTAAGACTAGAGAAAATTAGGAAGAGGTCATATTTGAAAAGTGAATTTTGCAGAACTGATTTTAAAATAATGAATCCTCAGGTTAAATAAATCCGAAGCAGGATTTAAAAAAAAAAAAAATTCTCACTTAGATATGTCATAGTGAAAGTAGCAGAACATGAAAGAGAAAATCCTAAAAATCAGTAGAGTGTGTAAACATAAAACCATGTAAACTGTCCTAGAGGTGCATTTTGGGATTTTCAGGTGTAATACTGATAATACTGGACTTCTACCTAACCATGTACTAAAATGGAAATAAATTACATTAATCAACCAACTCAAATATTAGTTTTATAAACTTAATTTACTCCGCAGAATTGTTAAACACCCAGTGAACCTGTTTAAATCAGAATCTGTATACCCAAAACAACTAAAAGCGGCGACACAGACAGACACATATATACCAGCGTTCGTTGGTTCGCTGCAGCACTACTCACAACAGCCAGAAGGTGGATACAACTGATGAACAGATAAATAAAATGTGGTACATGCACTGTTGCTGCTGTTGTTGTTGCTGGGCGCCGCTGAGTCGATTCCGACTCATAGTGACCACACGTGACAGACTAAAAGTGCCCATAGGGTTTTCCTGGCTGTAATCTTTACGGAAGCAGATTACCAGGTCTTTCTCCTGTGGAGCGGCTGGTAGGTTCAAACCGCCGACCTTTCAGTTAGCAGCAGAGAGCTTAACTGTTGTGCCCCCAGGGCTCCTTGGTAGATATATACAATGCACTATTACTCAGCTATAAAGAGGAATGAAGTCCTGATGCTGCCACAATATAGATGAACCTAGAAAACATTACACTTGCTGAAATAAGTCAGTCACAAAAGGACAAATACTGTATGACCTCACTTATGTGATATAAGCAAGTACATGGAAAACAAAAATTATTAATGGTTACCAGGGAGGGAAAAAGAAGGAGTTTTTGATTAGGGTGAATTGAATGTATATTCCTCCTGGTGGGATAATTTGGAAAAAGACAGCAAGAAATGGTTGCACAATTTGAAGAATGTAATCAATGTCACTGAATTGTGCAGGTAGATATTGTTGAATTGTTGCATGTTGTGCTATATATATTTTCACCACAATTTAAAAAAGAAATCAGAATCTGATCTATATATTTTCTGAAATTCCAAAATACAATGAAGCAAAGCATGAAAACATTCAAACTTGAACTTATATCTATTCTTGGTAATCAGCCCTGGTTGGTCCTCATATTTCCTTGTCTGTTTATTATCCCTAGGAACCAATCTCTGACAGAGTCACTTCAGGATGATACAAGGGGAAGACAAGAACAGGGATGCTCACTTTGGTGAGTGGTGTCTGGGGTCTTAAAAGCTTGTGAGCGGCCATCTAAGATACATCAATTGGTCCGAATCCACTTGGAGCAAAGAAAATGAAGAACACCAAAGACACAAGGGAAATATTAGACCAAGAGACAAAAGGGCCACATAAACCAGAGACTCTATCAGCCTGACACCAGAAGAACTAGATGGTGCCTGGCTACTACCAATGACTGCCCTGATGGGGAACACAACAGAGAGTTCCTGACGGAGCAGGAGAAAAGTGTGGAACAGAACTCAAATTCACATAAAAAGACCAGACTTAATGGTCTGACAGAGACTGGAGGAACCCCCGAAACTATGGCCCCCGGATGCTATGTTATCCCAGAACTAAAACCATTCCTGAAGACCACTCTTCAGACAAAGATTAGACTGGATTATAAAACATAAAATAATACTTGTGAAGAGTGTGCTTCTTAGTTCAAGCAGACACACAAGACCAAAGGGATGGCTCCTGTCCAGAGGCAAGAGAAGGCAAGAAGGCACAGGAGCTGGTTGGACGGACACGGAAAACCCAGGGTGGAAAGGGGGAGTGTGCTGTCACATTGTAGGGATTGCAACTAGTGTCGTATGACAATATGTGTATAAAATTTTGTATGAGTGATTAACCTGAGCTGTAAACTTTCACCTAAAGTACAATTTAAAAAACAAAACAAAACAGGAATGCTTGCTTCTCTCTTCCTTATCCTATTCATGCAAAAGAAAACTTTGGTGTCAGAACATTTCAGAAACAGTTGCCCAAAGCATTCTGAGAGACAATATGATTGTTCATTTCAGGAAATGGGTGTTCTAAAGTTCTTGGGTAGGTGAAGTCAATGATGTTGATAAAATCTTCACACAATTCTAAATGGCTAACAGAATAAAACTCCAAACGGCATATATGAAAAGCACCGTAGGAGTTTAAACATTGGATGGTACAAATTTCTAGGCTTTGGGCTAACTGTACAGTGAGGTCATGAATACGTGCGTGAATCAAATGTGGTTTTACCGGCGTTGCCACATTTCCACTGAAATGCATCAAATCTGGAGAAAATCATTCTCAGTTGTTGAAGTTAAAAGTTATTTATTTCAAAACCAGATGAAGTTAAGATACTATACCAAGATTTTAATGTGGTTCACTTTCTTCAAACTTTCTTGCAACCGTTGACTCTGCAAGTGACAAGAAACAGCTTATATAATATCGTTAGATTGACAAAACAAATTAAGAAGCCGTTTTCACGAGGGTCTTTGCAGGTCTGCAAATAAGGATCTCAGGCAGACAAATGCCAATCTTAGCATTTCAACCTCTGCACACAATCCCCAGCCTTTCAGTTAAAAGCTCTATTTAGTGGTTCAAGAAAAGCTTTTTCTAATAAGACATACATGAATGTTGTATTAGCAATATAAATAAGTCATTCATTCAAAAACTACTGAGTGCAAGGCACAGTACTAGATACTGGGCAATGGGGACCAAAGATAAATGAGATGGCACAGCAGCATGGCTAAGAGCATGGGTCTGGAGTCAGTCACACCTGGGTTCAAAACCTGGCTCTACCACTTACCACCTGTAGGACCACAGGTAAGTTATTTAATCTGCCACTTACTAGCTATGACATTGGACAAGTTATTAAATCTCTCTGTGCTTCAGTTCCCTCAACTATAAAATGGGGGAGGATAGTATCTACCTTACGGGGATGTTGTGAAAATGAAAAGAGCTGATGTATGTTAAATGCTTAGAAACAGTACCTAGAACACAGTAAGCATTATGTAAGTGATGGCTACCATCAGCATCAACATCATCATCATCATCATCATCATTGTATTACTCTCTCAATCCCAGTTAAACCATTATTAGATCCTCGCTATGGGGAGAATAATAGTATCTACCTTATGAGACTGGGACTCATTAATTCAGCAGATATCGAGTGTTGCACACTGGATAGATCCTCATGAAAACTACTTCTCACTGTGTTGGTATCACTGGACCTTATGGTCTAGTGAAGTTGTGGGGCTCATATGAGATGATGCACGTAAAGTGCTTCGTGGTGCTTGGCATCAAGGAAATGCTCAGTAACTGCCACCATGAGGATGATGATGGTGATGGAGATGACGAGGAGGAGGAGGAGGACAAGGAAAAGAATACTGAGTTTTACTCTCATGAAACCCTTGATCTACTGGGGAATACAAAGCATGAATGTATCTAACTAGCCATATTTACAAAAGTTTCATGCAGTTCAGCATGTGCCTGGTTTTAGCAGTGGTGAGTAAGCAATACGGCATCACTCAAGTCCTCCCGAGTATTTTGGATCAGCTACAGTTTTTGTTTGAAGGGAAAATGCCGGAGCTGTGGTGACCTCAAGCGTTTGATAGCTAATGTCGTCATTATTTTCCTGCACTCCAAAGGCCAAGGGGAATTGAAAACCTCTCCCTTGAGTGCCTGAACCTTCCCCAAACTGACTAAGCTACTACAGCAATAAAAGTTCTCCTTCTTAAGACCCAAACCTCAAGATGTGAGCACAGTGAAAAAAAAATTTTTTTAAATGTAGTGCTTTTTAAAAACAGAATAAGCATAAATCTTAGTTTGTAGTATAAAAATAACAAACAAAGGACTGCTGCTAGAGCAATATAAAAATACTGATTTTCCTAAATATAAGAATGACACTTGAGAAAATGTCAATTCCCAAGATTATATTTAAAAGAGACTTACTATTAAATTAATTTGCAGAACTTACTATATGATCAAGCACTACTGTAAGTTTTACATGTATTAACTCATTAAATCCTCATAAAAATCTTTTGTTGTATTATTATCCCCATTTTACAGATGCGAAAACAGAGATGTAGAGCGGTGACATCATACTTTTAAGCTTAAGTAAGAGGTTAGCCTTCAAGCTGCATAAAAATGTATTTTTTGGCTTTCTTAATTATAGTATAATAATACATGTTTCACAATTGTTGTTGTTAGGTACCATCAAGTCAGTTCCGACTGACAGCTACCCCTATGAGTCTATGTTTCACAATTAGAATACCTTAAATCTATGGACGGAAGATTAGCATTGTCCCTACGGCCCTTCAATTTGGGAGCCCAAGCCAGCTGATGTTAAAAATATACATGCAATCCATATCAAACCCTAACCTTCAAATTCCCTCACCCTCAAGAGTCATTCAGTTATGTGGGACATTCACCCCCCTTTGTCCATCTTTCTCCACTCCTTGGCTGTTATCTTGTGACTTCGTTTCTCATCCCATGCTGACGCTGGCATTCATTTTAATCTGATTCCATCTGGACACAAATCCTGGGACAACCCCAGCAGTGCCCGAGAACTTTGAAAAAGAAACATACATGCTTGCTTATGGTACGATAAACCCAGACAATGAGGTTACTGGATGGATGGGAAATAAGTGAAGTATTATTCTGCCTTTGCTTTTCCTGTAGAATATCTGTGACTCATTTAAACTTCATGTTCCTACTCACCAGTTGGCAGGCATGTTTTATTCTTTCCACAATCCCATCAAGGCCCAAGTATTGTAAAGATAACCACAGTGGCAGGGCACGGAGTTTGTCTGCTGGCTTGTTTGATGTAAGGCCAGCAACTAAAGTCTGAAAAAACCAATAGGGGTTCATTAACCAAAGCCATTGAAATCACACAACAGAACTAACCAGTTACCATTTACTAGGTACTTAGCACATGACAGATACTATGACAGTCACTCTGTTTGCATTACTCATTTATCATCCAACAATTCTACGAGGTGAGGATTCTAGACAACTTAGTTCAGAGATCTTGCTTTGTCCAAGGGTTCACGGGTAAGAAGTGGGAAAGCCAGGATAAGAATCCAGACTGGTCAAACTCCAAAGCCGAAGTACTTAGTCACTCAAGAGGCAAGCTGTTACAAGGTGGCTCTTAGTGTCCTCAAACACCTCAACTGAGCAAGACATTACCTGGTCTAGCAGTAATCACATAAAGCTTGCTTGGCACCTGCCTATCACTAACCAAACCCATATTAAGAACACTATGACTTTTAAAAAAAAATCATGTTACAGCTTTTTGGACAACACAGACCAGGAGCCTTCAATACTGACGCAGTAATCCCACTTCTAGGAACCAACTCAAAGGAAAGAATTTGAAATATAAAAAGATGTTCACTGTCTCATTACTTCAGTAATAAAAATTTGAAAATATCCTCAGAGTTCACAAATGGAGAACAATTAAATACACCGTGGTAGATCAGCGATGGGCTATTATGCAGCTACAAAATGTCATTAAAAATTCTTTATACAAAACAAGTCTACAAGGCTGATAGCCTACACAAGCCACAGCCTCATCTACTCTGAGACCAGAAGAACTAGATGGTGGCCGGCTACCATCACTGACCATTCTGACTGGGGTTACAACAGATGATCTTGGATAGAAGTGGAGAAAAATGTAGAACAAAACTCAAATTCTTAAAAAAGGCGAGACTAAACTGGACCAGTTGAGACCAGAGGACTCCCTGAGGCTACTGCCCTGAGACACTCTTTAAACCCTGAACCCAAACTATCCCAAGATCACCTTTTAGCAAAATAGCAGAGTGGCACACAACATAAAGACTATTACCCATAAGAACAGTGCTCTACTGAAAAACCATCTGTACAAGAGCAAAAGGTCAGCATTTACTCTAAAGCAAAGATGAGAAGATAAGGGGGCAAGGAAACCAGAGACTGGAAATCCAACGACCAGAATACAATTAAAGAGAATGCTGACATACTGTGAAAAATGTTAATTAATGCCACCGAATGATCTGTGTGAAAACTGTCAAATGGGAACCTAACTTGCTGTGTAAACTTTAATCAAAAACACAGTATTATTTTAAAAAAAAAAATTCTTCACACACGGAGAAGTATGAAGGAGAAGAAACAAAGCGTAATAGCATGATTTCACTTATGTTAAAAAGTTTTTGAAAAAGACAAAAAGGAACCATACACATACAAAACAATGCAATACAGAGAAAATAAGGAAAATTTTCACTTTTTCCCTTAATTTTTCTATATTTTTCCTCCCAACTCAATAATGACTGAGCAAGCTTACCAAGGCAGGATCGTCGTGCTTATAAAGTGTAACTGCAGGAACAGCTGGCAAACCCAGCCACGGGCCAGGAGTCAACATCATGCTGTCACATTTGGTTGCAGCCTACCAAAAGCAGAACAACGCTTTGTTAAATCAGGAGAGAGGATACACTAAACTGAACACACCCCTCCCTTCATAAAAACAGTAAAAAGCTATTAGGGACTGCTTCGTGATTCTAAATTCCTTCCTACAAATACCAACATTTAGTAAATCAACAACTTACCAGCACCGATGAGGAGACATAACCTAGAGCCAATGTTGCCAGATTCACACTGGAAGAAAAAACACGTTTAATTATTTACGGTGCTTATTCATGAAGTATTTATTTAAAAAAAAAAAAGGCTGTGCTGTTGCAAGCTGACGTTTCAATGTCTTTCAGTTGTGTTATTAGCTTTTGTAACAGTAACAGAAAACCCTGAAAATCCATTTTAATCAAATGTGTTTCGGGGATGTCTCCTACCTATTTCATACAATGCGTGTACCATTTTACATCTTTCACAGTTATTTTTTTTTCAGTCATATATTCTTTTCCAGAAAGATAAAATAAAACAGAAACCTACCTTGTATGATGTGGTGGATACGGGGCTATGGGCTACCCTGCATCCTCTCCCCACTTCTTAACAGTGCCAACTGCCTTCTGGGAAACCACTCCAATCTCCTCTACCAGATCATGAGCTTTAGGTGGAGGAGACACCACCACCTGTTCCAGAGGTGGGCAAATAACCTAAACTACTAGAGTACTACATTTCCCTGGCCATGGTGACTGCTCAGTATGAGACTTGTGCTGGGACTTCTGGCCCACTGAACACAAATCTAGAAAGAAGACTGGTCCTGCTGCTATAGCTACTTTGTACCACAACAGTAAAGTCTATCTATAAATGGAGCCAATATAGAGGAAACTCAGCCTAGTGCTGGGGAGGGAGAGAGAGAGAGAAACAGAAAAAGAGACTGAATCCTGGTTGACACTGTGCCTGTAGCCAGCCCCAGCACTGGTCTTTTTAGTTATATGAGCCAATGAAGTCTCCTTTTGCTTAAGCCAATTTGGGTTTTTTGTTATTTACAACCAAAAGAGCCCTTAATGATAAATGTTACTACAAAATGGGAGCCTGGATGCCCACCCTCCACGACAACTGTGAGCACACTCAACCTGGAGCCAACCTTACCACCCACTTACCCTTCCACGTGAAGCCACATGCCATATTGCTCACAGAGTTCTTTCAAACGCCCAATCTTATCTGTGTGCCCTACTGCTGCAGTTCCTAGGAGAAAGGAAACAAATAAAATAGATACGTCAGGATAAAAGCTTCTATGTATATCATTTCCTTACGAAGGAAATAACTTATTACATCCCTATTTTACTGAGATTTTCTTTTTGGATTAATTTAAAATCAACTGTTGCAATTTAATCCTGTAAGCGTATATCCTGTTATATATAGCAAGCTTGTTATTTGTTTTATTTAAATTCTCCACTTAAATACATTCAAGTGCATTAAATATACTATTTTCTAGCTGCTTGATCTGTTGAGGTATATTCAAGTCTCCCACCAAGACTGTGGATTTGTCAACTTATATTTTATCAGTTTTTTCTTTATACATTTCAATGTTCATAAACATTTATAACTGTTATGTCTCTCAGTACACTATACCTTTCATTAACATGAAGTCTATTTTACCTCACAGTAATACTGCCATAGCGCTTTCTTTTTGTTAGCATTTACCAGAGATATCCTTTCCCACCCTTTTGTGTTTCTTGTCATTTTCTGAGTTGTTTTGATTTAGGTGCATCCGTTGTGAATTTATTTTTGTTTTTTCAACCCAAACTGAGATTCTTTCTTTCAATATGGGTCAAACATTCTGAAGCCAGTTTAAAAATATTAAATACTTCAAGCCATTCCCTTGCTAATTTGTTTACAGACTTTGCTGGGCAGATCTTCAAATACAAAGCATAAGTATAATGTGGAGTTATGTATGCTTTTTAGTGTCCTAAATTTCCAGTTAGCAGAATCTCAACTAATGAGATTTCAAACTGCCTCAACAAACACAACTAAAGAAAGTAGTTCTACTTGAGTTTATGACGGGAAAGGGCTGAAAACTTTTTTATCTCACATACACGTCTATCTCAAATTAAAAAAAGAAAAATTCTTAACTGACATTTGGTTTAGTTGAACAAGATCATATGCCAACATGTGGGCTGTCTCACATGACCCCTCCATCAAAACCCAAAGCACACTGCTGTGCTGTAGGGACTGCAGCACTCAGATTCCCTTTCATGGTTTCTGGCAATGTCTGCTGACTAACCCCTGGGATGGGGACTACAGTGACTGTGACGCCACACACTGGTCAGTCAGTCACATGCAAATCACAGTCTCTCCAGTCTACTGAATCATCGAATATGAGTGAATTTATGTTTCTTTTTAAACATACAATATGGCAAGTCAGGCAGGAAGTGGTGGTTTTCCTGCTGACAATAAGATGGATATTTCGGTGGGTGCTTTTCTTTTTTTTAAAAAAAAAAAAAAAGCTTTATTCAGGTATAATTTACATACAATAAAATTCACTCATTAAGCATACAATTTGACAAATGTATGCAGTTAGTTATGTGACCGCCAACACAATCAAGATATAAAATATTTCCAACACCCCTCATACCCCACTGCAGTCACTCCTTCCCCATTCCTCACTGGCCTCAGGCAACATTGATCTGTTTTCTGTCACTGCAGTTTTGCCTTTTCTAGAATTTCATATAAATGAAATCATACAGTATGCAATCTTTTGTGTCTGGTTTTTTTCACTTAGCATAATGCTTTTGAAACTCATCCATGCTGGTGTGTGTATCAGTAGTTCTTTCCATTTACTGCCGAGTAGTATTCCATGGCATAGATGCACCACAATTTGTTTATCCACTTACCAGATGAAGAGCACCTGTGTTGTTTCTAGTTATGAACATCTGCATACAAGTCTCTGTGTAGACATACGTTTTCATTTCTCTTTGACAAATAACTAGAAGTGGAACTGACAGGTCATGTTAAGTGTACTTAACTTCGTAAGAAACCGCCAAACTGTCTTCCTGAGTGCTATACCATTCTGCATTTCCACTAGCAATGTACAAGAGTTCCAGCTGCTCTGCATTCTTGCCAACACTTGGCACTGTATTTTTTTATTTTCTCCGTTCTAACAGATGTGTAGTAGACTCTCATTGTGGTTTTACTCTACATTTCTCTAATGACTACTGATGCCAAGCATCTTTTCAATGCATATATTTTCTTTGGTAAAATGTCTGTTCAAATATTTTATTTTAAAAATTGTATATTTTGTCTCCATACTACTGAACTGTAGAGTTCTTTACATATTCTGGATACACATCCTTTGTCAGATGTATGTTTTGCAACTATTTTTCTCCCAGCAAGAGCTTGCCTTTTAATTTTCTTAACAGGGTCTTCTGAAGAACTTTAAAAGCTTTTAATTTTTGATGCAGTCCAATTGACTGTTCATACCTTTTGTGTCCTAAGAAATCTCTATCTAACCTGAAGTCACAAAGATCTTCTATGTTTTCTTCTAGAAGTTCTTATAGTTTTAGCTTTCACGTTTAGGTCTATGATCCATTTTGAATTAATTTTGGTATCTAGAGTAAGGTAGGGGTTGAGGTTCGATTTTTTTCTATGTGGATATCCAATTGTCATAAGACTACTGGTGGAAAGACTATCCTTTCTCCATTGAATTACCCTGGCATCTTAGTAAAAAAATATCAAGTGACATGGGTCTCTTTCTGAACTCTATTATCTTTGATTAATTTCACACTGTCTTGATTATTTCCAGCTTTACAGTGAATCTTGAAATCAAGTAGTGTAAGTCTCCCAATTTTGTTTCAAAATTATTTTGGGTCTTCTTAGATCCTTTGTATTTCCATGTAAATTTTAGAATCAACTTATAAATTTCTACAAAAAAGCCTGCTGACATTTTGATAGGGATTGAGCTGAATCTATATTATCAGTTTGGGGTGAATTGACTTGACAGTATTGAGTCAACCAATCCATGTACACGATATACCTTTTCCATTTATTTGAGTCTTCTTGAATTTCTCTCAGCCACATTTTATGGTTTTCAGTGTACAGAGCTTGCATGTATTTTGTTAAATTTCTCCAACAAATTTTTCATGTTTTTGATGCTATTATAAACTTTTTTTTTTTTTAAATACTGACCACGTATTGTATAACCTTGCTAGACTCTTATTAGTTCTAGTTGCTTTTCTTTAGTTTTCTTAGGGCTATCTATGCAATCATATCTATGCAAAGATGCAAACTATCTTTATTCATTTATCTGTGAACAAAGACAGTTTTATTTCTTCCTTTCCAATCCGCACATTGTTTAATTATTTTTTTGCATTATTGCAATGTCTAGGGCCTCAAGTACCATGTTGAACACAGATAAGTGGAGCAGTAAGTAGTAGTTGACCTGCTGTCTACAATGTGGATATTTAAGTGTAACATTTTAAAATTCAATTTAGAAAGGAGAAAGGAAGTACGTAAAGCAGAAGATGAGAAGCATTTACAACCTAAATTAAAAATTATACACACACATACACAAAATTAACTCCCAAAACAAATGAACAACTAAAGGGAATTAATGAGCCAGCTTTACCATCATAGCACTCACCACAAAGCTGATAACAGACTACCTTAAACATGCAGAACACAAACATATCTTACGAGTTAGTCTTTTTTAGGCTAAGTACCTGGCGTCCCTCTTTTATATCTGTCTTAGTTATCCAGTGCTGCTATAAAAGAAATACCACAAGTGGACGGCTTTAACAAACAGAAATTTTTTTCTCACAGTTAGGAGTCTAGGAGTCTGAATTTAGGGCGCTGACTCTAGGGGAAAGCTTTCTCTCTCTGTCAGCCCTGGGGGAAAGTTCTCGTCTCTTCAGCTTGTTTCCTGGTTCCTTGGAGATCTCCAAGCCATTGAGGCCATAATGTCATGGCTGTGTTTATCAGTCTTCCCCCATCTCTGTTTCTCTCTCTTGCTTGTTTAATCTCTTATTTCTCAAAGAGATTGATTTAAGACACATCCCACACTAATCCATTCCCAAAAGAGATTATAACCACAGGCACAGAGGTTAGGATTTACAACACATATTTTTGGGGGACACAATTCAATTCATAATGATATCTAAAATGGAAGATTTGGGTTCACAATACCTACCAGCATTTGCAACAAGCAACAGGGGCAGTCTTCCTCGTTCTATATCATCTTTAATCAGCTTCTCCAGGAAGGCAACATCCTGGCACCAAAACAAAAACCACAAAAACGTGAGGCAACCAGCATAAAAGCTACTACAGTGGAAAATTGCGACTTCCAAAAGAAGCAGATTACTCTCAAAATTAATCCATCAAGTCTTATGCTTGGAAATTTTTCAGTCTTCTCAAATCATAGATGAGAAAATCAAACAGTTTTCCTTAAGACTAATTAGAACGGTTGGTTAAACTAGATTAAAATTAAAAACTGCATATACAAAACATTTATATTTAAAGAAAATGTTCCCCCAAAAGACAGCCAAGAATGTATCTCTAATATTCTCACTGATGCACCTGAATCAGAAAGTAAAACTATCTTGAAAAAATAAATGCAGAACCCTAAAATCTATCCCTTTTGCTTCTGGCGAACGTATGGAGAGGCTTATCACTCACGTCTAAAAAACAGCAGAACTCAATCCAAAGAGTACAATGAAGAACCTCATTTTCAAAATCTGCTCATTCCAAAGTCCAGGCAAGAATGAAAATCATTTAAAAGTATGAGCTTCACAAGGGAAATCTAGTGCTTAATTTGACGGCCATATCTCTATTTAAAATAGGAGATATAGTGATAAAAAGGCTCCCTAAAAGCCAAGTGCTCCTGACCTATATGGCAACCAACCTTCATGGACTTTCAAACACAGAAGCATGTATTACTCAATGGAAAGACCTAAGCAATAAATGTATAAGGTAATACTTATCTGGAGACCAGCAAACAGAACTTCAGTTAAAAGGAAGATAATGTTTAAAACACAATTTTATACTATTTTACAAGCCAAAAGGCTAACTCACCATCTGATGCTGGGATCCAAACATAGTGTTACAGGGCACACGACACAAGCAGGGGAAAGGCAAGCCGAGCTGCAAGAAACACACAACTTTTCAAGAAGGATCTTTGCCACCATTCACTTACGCCCTCAAAAGTTTGTGGCCCTGAGACAATCCATAATTATTCCTTTAAAAAATCTCTCTGCTTAGGAGCTCTTAATATTATCAATAGATGTTAAAGTACGTGAGAAAGAAACAAAAAAAATGGTGAATTCTCAAGAGCTGTCATAAGGGGATACAGATAATGTAAAATTTTCTAAATTAGGCAAGTAACTATCTTTGGTATATTCTAGAATATACCAAAAAACAAAAACACCTTGCCCAAGAGAGAAACAATTGAGCCCTGAACATTTTTTGAGATAGTTTAGGATTCTTCTTCCAATCATCACTAGTAAATAACACCAGCTAAATAAAGGGACTGAAAAAACTATATCTTATTTATGGGTCCACCCATCCCTAAAAAGCAGTAAATATGGACTAGCAGATATACAATTCTTAAGAGAAATGAAATCGAATGGAGCTGGTTATTATTAATTTTATAGTCTTCATTTTTAGCTTCCAAATGTTTGAGTAGTTTATAATTTTAGGAATTTTAAATAGTTGCAGCATATTGTTCTGCAGACTAAGACTTGGTAGCATTTAAACACCAAAAATCAAATAAGCACTGTATTCACACTTTTCCCCCGTAGGGGATTTTTTTTTTTTTAAATTAGGAAAATGATATCCCACTAAAACAAACAAACAAAAAAAATCAAACAATACTGAAATTAAAAGTTAAAATGTTTCCTGCCACAAGCTACCAATCCACCAATGTTAATAGTTTAGTATATAACCTTCCAGACATATTCTAGGTATAAATATGTCTTTATAGATATATATTTTGCTAGGTATAAAAAATACATGTATATAAGCATATGCATTATTTTTAAAACATGAGTATGATGTTATATGTACTGTTCTGCCACCTGCCTTTCTCACTTAACAGAATACTCTCACACACAATGAAAATTGGATTGCTGTCTCAGGACAGCCTTGGGTCCACAAGAGCCTGGTTTGCAATAGGTACTCAATAATTTGTTTCATGTTTCTGTAGGAATATTATAAAAACTCCCCATTTTGTACACCCTCAAGAACAGGACATAATTTCTTGCCACCTGTGATCACAGCTCAGAATCAATTTAAGTCCCTGAGTCTCCCTATACAACTCCCAGGGCCCCTCCACCATCACAAAAGACGAACCAAACCCTCCATCCCTATGGGTTTTGCCTTAAAATATTCTTGGCCAAGAGGCTTAATAATTTCTTGTCTCAAGGTAGCCCCTCAGTTGGGCTGTCTGCACCATGAACTTTAAAAATGCTAATGCTCTTTGATCCAGTAACTCTAAATTACTCTGAAAATCTACCCTAAGTGCATAACCCTAAACATAAACATTTAACGAAGATGTTCATAACAGCACTACACAAACAGTACTATCTCAATATGGCGAAAGCAAAAGAAAGAAACACTCTAATCGTCCAAAGGGGAAACAGTTAATTAAATTACTATACAATCACTTGAAGGAATATTACGAGATACTAAAAATAAACTTTACTTTGAAGAATTGCTATAACATGATATGCTCCTACTAGGAAGAGTAAGTGAAAAAAGCCAGAGATGACCGTGTAAGAAGATACATACACCCTTTGATTAAAATCTGGAAAGAAATAAAGCAAAACGTTAACTATGGTTGCCTTTGGACAATGTAAAAATATCTTTCACGTATTCTTTTTTCTAAATTTATTATCATACATTTATATATTCTGCAATGATAAAATAAGAATAAAGTCATCTTTCTTCATTCAAAAAGAACAGCAGCTACAGAAATGGGCTATACCCTTTAAAACGTTTCAGGACAGAATAAAACATTCTGTTTCTTTAAAATACCCACTTTATACACATTACCTGATTACAAAGGTATTGGCCCAGGCCAGGTCTAGCAGCAGCACTAAGATATATAACAGGTTTTTTGTTATATAACACATTGAATCCATCCACTACAAAGTCTTCATATCGAGAATGAATGGCAAGCCTACAGATCTTTGCAAGTCCCTCTCTTTCGTCCTCGTGGAAATAAGCACAGCCATTTTCATACCTGTAAGAGGCACCCATATATGAATATGTTCTTACTTCACATTAATTCAGATTTTATATCCAAGTCTTACAATATAGAAGAAATTCTTTTCTCAAACTAGAAATTGCCACCTAGATCGGCAAAAGGGGATAGAATATGGAAGTAATTATTTTCTCAAACGAGAAACTGCCACCTAGATCAGCAAAAGGGGACAGAAACGTGAAACACTCTCAGATGTCTGACAACTCATTACAGCTGGTGGTTTTAAAAGAAACAGGCAACGACCCTTTATCCACACCCAAGAGAAGTGATGAAAACAAGCAGAGAATAGGAGTCCCTCCAGACAAGGAATAAAAAGGCATGGAAAACATGGTTCTGGTTGATTCTATAAGGTGGCCACAACTGGGTGACACAGGCATAGTTCTTAGCAATTTCAGCCCTCAAACAGTCAATGGAAACAAAACTGTTGAAAACACTGATCAGTCTAACTGCTTTTACTATTATCTGTTTGGCACTTTTTATTCTTCCTAATCTCCTAAAGAAGGAGGAAGAATTTCAATTATAAGTGTTGGGTTTTTACTTATAATCTTACCAGGCCAAGCTCTTTCCCAATATTTGAAAGTGAGAGCCCTCCAAGTTAAATATTCCATTGTTAGGCAAAGATTTCTTTTCCATAAAAGTAACAGCAAGCACAGTAATACCAATCCTAATCTCCTGCAACTCTTTAACAACGTCAACATTATAGCAGAATAAAGCCAATTCTTTTTTTTTTTTTTATTGTACTTCAGGTGAAGGCTTACAGAACGAATAGTTTCTCATGAAACAGTAGTACACATATTGTTTTATGACATTGGTTAACAACCCCACAACATTGCAACCCTCTAACTTCTCAACGTTTTTTTTTGGTGAAAATGCACATAGCCAAAGATACACCATTTCAAAAATTTCTACATGCACAGTTCAGTGACATTTGACTACGCTCTTCCAATTGTGCTGTTATTCTCATTTACAATGAAGGCTTACAGAACAAAATAGTTTCTCATTTAACAGTTACTACAAATGTTGCCCTATGACAATGGTTAACAATCTCACAACACATCGACAATATCCTTACTCAACCTTGGGTTCCCTATCACCAGCTTCCTTGTCCCCTTCTGCCTTCTGGCCCTTGTCACTGGACTACTGTACCTCGTTAGTCTCATTTGGTTTTACGGGGCTGTCCACTCCCAGGCTGAACGGTGAACCTCGGAGAGAACTTCACCACTGAGCTAAAAGGGTGTCTGGGGGCCATACTCTCAGGGTTTCTCCAGTCTCCTTTAGGCCAGTAAATCTGGTCTTTTTTTGTGAGTTAGAATTATGTTCTACATCCTTCTCCAGCTCTGTCCAGAACCGTCTGTTGTGATCCTGGTCAGAGCAGTCAGTGGTGGGAGCCAGGCACCATCTAGCTGTACTGGACTCAGTCCGGTGGAGGCCTTGGTAGCTGTGGACAATTAGTCCTTTGGACTAATCTTTTCCTTGTATCCTGTTCTCTTCACAGAATAAAGCCAATTTTAATTTCATAACACATTCTCATCTTCCTTATGACAGCGTTTCCTTTCTACTAATGCACAAGTTAATAATTTGATTAAAAAAAGCTGAATCCAGATCATTACTCTATCTTCTTTTAATATGTGCCAATTGTTGTTGTTAGGTGCTGGTGAGTCAGTTCCGACTCACACTGACACAATGTACAACAGAACAAACCACTGTCTGGTCCTGTGCAATCCTTACAATTGTTGCTATGTTGCAGCCACTGTGTCAATCCATCTCATTGAGAGTCTTCCTTTTTTGCTGACCCTCTACTTTACCAAGCATTATGTGCCAATTAGGAACCCTAAAAATAAAGAACTGCTTACATTATTAAGCATTTACATACTTATGTTCTCAACTGTTTACATGTATCAATTCATTTAATCCTCACAATTCCATGAAATTTATACTAATGCAATCCCCATTTAATAGATGAGGACACGGAGGTATGGAGAGGTTAAACAACCCTTCAAAGAAGGAATGCCAGATTAAGCCCAGGTGGTATAGCTCCAGAAAGAAGGTCTCTCACAGTCTCTACCTGACCCAGAAATGTCTTTACCTGAAAATTCTGCATAGCCATAAGGTAGTATCCGAAAGTATCCTAGTTGTAAGTTTTCTCAGCTTCTCTTTGTCCAGAGTGGAAATATAAGCGCCCAGACTATGCCCCAACAAAGCCATGTGACCTTGCTCTCCAATATTCTGGATTCTGTTAATCAAAAATTCATCAGATTAAAAAATATGTATTAGAATCAAACCATGTTTACTAAAAAATAAAACTGAATCACAGTACTTCACATAAATTTCTGTTAGACTTAAAATCCACCTTATGGACCAGAAGCAGAAATTCAGATATACTGAAAAAATTCAATGCATGTAAGATTACTGATAATTTGGGGAGAAAAATATTTTAAAAATTCAAGCCCTAGGAGACAAATATCCTTTTGTTGTTGTTGAGTACCTAATAAACACACAAACTGTTTTAAAATAATTTTCTCCTATTTTTTTTTTTAATTAAAGACCAGCCTTAAAAACTATGGAGAGTAGAGCTAACATGTGCAGAAAACAATTTTTAAAAGAATCATTGGATAAAGATTAATTCCCTGCACTAAGTAGCTATTTATAATAATAATACATCAAATTCAAAGAGAATGGGACATTGTTTTATACAATTAAAATGGGCAGACTAATTTCCCTTCTAAAGAGTAATTGCAAATTATTAATAAAAAGACAAATACCTGACCAGCATACTGGGCAAAAGACAGTTCATAGCAAAGGAAATATAAAGGGGTATTCAAAATTACAAAAAGATGCTCATAATAAGAAGAATGCAAATTAAAACTATGCTGAAATATTATTTCCCATCTATCAGACTAGCAAAGATCCTTTAATCTGGTAACACTCTTGCAGGCAAGGTGTGGGGGAAAAGGTACTCTCATACATTGCTGGTGGGACTGTAAACTGGTACAACGTCTATGGGGGGATAGCTGGCAATATCTACCCAAATTACAAATGCACAGACCATCCGACCCAGCAATTCCACTTCTAGGACTTCACCCCACAGACACACTTGCGGCTATGAAAATGACACACAGACAAAGTTATTTGCTGCAGCAAAGTCTGTAACAGTAAAACTTTAATAGAAAACTAGTTAAATAAAATATGGCTCTTTCATTCAAAGTACAACTAAGCAGCTGTGAAAAAGAAGAAAGCTCCTTGTATGCTGCTACGCAATGAACTCAAAGACGTAACAGAAAAAAGCAAGATGCAGAACAATGTGCAGAGCGATGGGGGCAGACATTTTTGCTTGTGTATACATATACTTCAGCGATGGCTGGAAGGATACACAAGCGACTGGTAATACTGTCTACCGCTAGGGAAGAGAACTAGAGGCAGGGAGGCAGAGGCAGGAGGAAAATTCTCTTTGTATACCTTTTTATTTATTTATTTTTAATCTGTTAAATTTTGAACCAAGAGAATGTATTACTTACTCAAAAAAAAAAAAAATTAAACTTAAAAAAATTACAAAAAAAGGAAACGAACTAAATGATCCACATAAATGGATGGTCCACAGAGAACATGGACTGCTACGCCATCAATTCAGTTGCAATAATTCTTAGCAATTGTAAAGGAAGCAGAAAAGCACAATTACTCTTTGGTCCTTTTTGCCAGCCCCTAAGACACACTACCATAAAAACGACAGAATTTAGTTTTAGTAAAACAATATATTTACAAAAAATATATATGAGATATTAAAAATAAAAAAGTATAAATAAAATATATACTTTATAATGTATTATCTAAAATCCATAAATGTCTCTCTGAAAAGAAAAAAATGAACATAATTTAATACCATATGCAACTCTTAATGACATATAGATTATTTGAGCAGCCTGTAAGATTGGAATCAAGAACAAACACACTTTCAAAGAGAAGCTGCAACCACTCTCCATTACCGGGAACTCTGGGGCTCCTCATCTTCATCTCCGTGCATCAGATTCTGAACTAACTGGAGGATGCTCACCATATCCTGTCCACTGCAAGATAAAGAGATGACGGACTGCTGGAAACAGCACACACACCCTATCACTCTCCCACTACTTCTCTCATCCAAACTAACTCTGGTAAAGTTTAATTTTTTTAATTGAATAACTACGAAAGAATGTGTTTTGAGATATGGTATACATCTTTTAAAAACAGTCTTGAAATTATGAACTGAATTCTGAATATAACTTTACCTGTAATTAATTAAATCTTCTACCTAAATATGAGTTTAATCTTTAAAAATCTCACCAGCATTGCTTCAGCAATATTTCTATATCTATTTATCTGAGGACAAGACAGAAAACATTTAGTAAGCATGTTAACAAAAAAAAAAACCAAACCAAACCCACTGCTGTCAAGTTGATTCCAACTCAAAGCAACCCTATAGGACAGAGTAGAACTGCCCCATAGGGTTTTCAAGGAGTGCCTGGTGGATTCGAACTGCCGAGCTGTTGGTTAGCAGCAGCTGAGCTCTTAACCACTGCGCCACCAGGGCTCCAATAAGCATGTTATAATGGATAAAAACCTTTATGAGAGGCTGGAAGGCCACAGAAGCAACAAGAATATTTTATTATTCACACCAGCAAAAACAAAAGTAGAAACAACCCAAGTATCCATCAATGGACAAATGTGGTATTCAAATACAATGTAATAGTATTGCGCCATAAAAAGCAATGAAGTTCTAATACATGCTACAACACAGCTGAACCTTGAAAACATTGGGCTGAGTGAAGTAAGTCAGAAACAAAAGGACATACATTGTATCATCCCACTTACATGAAATACCTAGAATAAGGAATTCATTGAAGCAAAGCAGACTGCTGGTTACCAGGGGCTAAGGAAGGGGGAAATGAGGAGTTACTGCTTAATGGATACGGTTAATGCTTACTGCTTGGGGTAATGAAAAGTTCTGGAAATAGAGTGGTAATGGTTACACATTGTGAATGTAATTAATGCCACTGAATTATACACTTAAAATGGTTAAACTGACAAACTTGTTATTTATAGTTTACTACATTAAAAAAATAAAAAGACCACTCCAATGCCATTGGTATATCTAGTTTTCCTCCATGTAGGAGTCTTGTCTGTTTGGATTAACAGCCTTAAACATGTAATGCAAGCATTATTTATTACCACCTCTCCACCACCCAAGTGGGAAACTTGAGATTTGCTTAGAATGCAAATACTCTATAAAAGATATATTAATAAATGCTCATTATACAAGGTGAAAATCTGTGAGAAAATCATGAATAGATAAAGTAGTAAGAAATGGCAAGGCAACCTGTAATGGATGTAATGTGAACACATTCCTCCATTAATAAGAACATGACCAATTTAAATTTCTCTCTTTCAGAAAAGAAGCACTGTCCAAACAATCCCTAAAACCCCATTTTCTCTAAGGTCCTGGCCTACAAGTGGGAGGGGCTCCAGTTCATGGGACACTGTGTAGTGATTAGGACAAGGTGGGGGCCTTGCCAGGTGGCCTTGAGCAAGCTAAAGTTGGTAAGCCCCTACATTATGGAGTTATTATGAGAATGCAGTCAGACAGTGCATGTAAACCGTTTAACACCGTGCCTGGCACATTCTTGGTCTCAGTAAATGTCAGCTATTAGTATTATTAAGGAGCCCTAGTGGTGCAGTGGTTGAAGCGATGGACTGCTAACCAAAAGGTCAGCGATGCAAAACCACCAGCGACTCCATTGGAGAAAGATGTAGCAGTCTGCTTCCGTAGAGATTTATAGCCTTGGAAACCCTATGGGGTCACTATGAGTCAGAATCGACTCAACAGCAGTGGCTCTGGATTAGTAGTATTAAGTGTGAGTGCTCCTGGTCAGCGGCTTTAATGCACTGCCATTCTGAGAACTGCAGATGTTCTTAGTAGTATCTTTTCTCGAGAAACTTAGATGGAATCAGGGAAAAAAACCTCAAGCCCTTTTATTCCTTTTAGTAGTAGGCCTGGGTTGAGAAGACTTAAAGGATTTGATTCTTGTTTTGAGCTGTAGGAAGCACTTCACATCTAAACCCACTGCCATCGAGTCAATTCCAACTCATGGGGCTTTAAATCAGCACCATTCATGCTGCAGTACTTTCAAATATTAGTAACTGGGCGGGTTAGATTTGACGTTTGTTGGAACGCTGTGATCCTTCCTCCATACTTTTCCTTTGCAACCTTGTACATATTTACATTCAGGTCAAAGGACAATTTAAGGGAGTTGTACTGTTTACCCTATGTGCAGCTTCCTGGTTACAAAAAAAAGCTAATTTGAGGGAAGCTGGGCTGGGCCTTTAATTACATAGTGGCTACTAACATCCTGAGAAAATTTTAGTCTGAAAGCTTCTTATTTTTCTGATCTTTTCCTAGCTCAAACCACAACGACTTGACAGGTTTGCTTAAGTTGCCAAAAAATAAACTACTCTGCCAATAAAATGATTAAAAGTTGACATTTTCCTTTCATCTACTACATTATAAAAATGATAAGTCTTATCAAATTAAAATATCTTTCACGATAAAACTCGGTCTATCAGATAGATTATAGGTTTCAAGGATGTACTAAATATGATATTTCAGTGATGATAAAAAATTCAAAGAGTGCTTCTGAGTTATGAGATTGCATTAAATTCCATAAAGGAAAGGGGAAGGAGGGGATAGGGTCAGCATTATCATCAACCAGCCAGTGGCATTTTGGTTTTCAAATGTTATACTGCACATAACTATTTAAATTTGCTTTGTGCTCATTAAAACTAAAACTATAAATCCATGATGGTAAAATCTTGGTTTAAAAAAGATTTACAACCAAACTAAAGACACTTAACTTCACTGCCACCTACCTGCCCTGGAGTGGCCCTGGAATATCCCCTGACAAGAGCTTCTTTTCATTTTCTTCCTCTGTTCTCCTAATTTAAAGGAAACAGAAATTTGGTATAATACAAGCAGTTTTTTTTTTTTACATTTGAGCACGCAAGCATGTGAGAATGTTGCCTATAACTGTTTAGTGATTGATCTAGGATTTAAAACACATTTACCACATCCCCCCGACCCCCCCCCCATCAGCCCCAGTATTTGAATTGCGGGAAAAGAAAATAACATAAAGTAATAATATTTGAACTCATTTTTAATGAGCTAAGCCTGAATATATGACCTGAATATACAGTAAGAAGCATTTATAGATTCGATCTATTAAGTAAATAAAACTCTTAGTAGACTCTCCTCAGTTTCAAAATCCTTTAATTATAAAGTACCTTCTGAGACAAATACCAATTTTAAAGTGGGCTAGAAGCGGAAGCGTGACATTCTGAAACCAGGAGGTGTCTTTAACAGAAGGAAACTGGCACCTCCAGTTTCACAACAGGTTGAACACGTTTCACAGGGTCGTTTCCACTGGCATGCTCACCTCTGACTGTCTTCTAGCATCTTCATTGCCTCCTTCAAGTTTTTTCCCATTTCAGCTAATGTAGGGTCTACTATCTGGAAAACAAACCACAAAATAAGTTAAATTTTAATAATCCTCTATTATTTCTTCAATATAATTCATCCAGAAAAATTAAATGCAAGTCCTTTCTTCTCGATTTATTATAAAGTATATGCTTGATTAAAAAAACTTTCAATAGTCCAAAAATACAACAAAAAAGTAGTCTTCCCCAGTCCCTCCTCAAGGAACGCCACTTTTAAGTTTGACATGTATCTTTCCAAATTTTAACCATACTTACATGTACCTCTCAACTTGCTTTTTAGTACTTTATAGTGAATATGGTTCCACATCAGTATATACACTTTATTCTTCTTAGCAGTTATATCTTATTCCGTTCTATGGACGTACCATGGTTTATTTAAGCAATCCCAGATTAACTGACACTTAGGTTATTCTACTTTTTCATTATTAGAAAAAAGGTTCAGAAAAGCATGTACAGTACGCTATTTGTTTTACCTGTTGTGGTAGGCTGAAAATGGTCCTCTAAAAGGTATCGACATGCTAATTCCTGAAACCTGTGTATGTTACCTCATATGGTGTTATGGACTGAACTGTGCCCCTCAAAAACATATGTTGAAATCCTAACCCCTGTATCTGTGGATGTAATCCTGTTTGGAAATAAGAGTTTCTCTGTTACTCAGATCATACCCAAGTAGAGTGGGTTCTAAATCTAATCGCTTCTGAGTTAGAGCACATTAGACACAGAGATACACACACAGGGGAAGACAGATGCCATGTGAGGATCACCAAGGAATACTCAGAGCCGCCAACAAGGAAGGAATCAACACGGCTAAGACCCTGATATGGACTTTTTAGTCCCTAAAACTGTGATAAAATTAACTTCTGTTCTTTAAAGCCACCTACTTGTGGTATTTGTGTTACGGCAGCACTAGGAAACTAAAACCTATGGTAAAATCTTTGCAGCTGTGATTAAGTTAAGGCTCTTGAGATGGGAAGATTATCCTGAATTATCCAGGTGGGTCCGAAATGAAATCACACGTATCCTTATAAGAGGGAGGCAGAGGGAGATTGTGACACACAGAGAGGGGGAGGGGACGGGGCATGTGAAGATGGAGCAGACAGAGATTTGAAGATGTTGGCCTTGAAGATTAGAATGATGTGGCCACAAGCCAAGGAATGCCACCAGCCACCACAGACTGGAATAGAAGAAGCAAGGAAGGGACTGTCCTTAGAGCCTCCAGAGGCAGCGCAGCCCTGACAACACCTTGATTTTGGCCCAGTGGTACTGATTTTGAAACTTCTGCCCTCCAGAACTGTGAGAGAATATATTTCCATTGTTTTAAGCCTCTCAGTTTGTGGAAATTTGTTACAACAGCCACAGGAAATTAATACACCCCGATATATGCACTGGCTTCTATAAACAAAGCTTATCTCTGGAAGCTTACACAAGCTGGTAATAGTCACTGCCTCCAGAGAGGGGCACTGGGTAGATGGCACAGGGGCCAGGGTGAGCTGTGCCCTTTATACTCTTTTGTTCCTTTTGGATTTCATACCATGTGTACATCTATTTCCCATTCAAAAAAACAAACGAAAAAAATTTAAAAATCATTGCAGAATTACAAACACATTCATTTTTCTTCTAGGGAGAAAATCCTGTTGCCTTGAATCTCTATATTGTATGACCTGTGTTACAGAAAGTTACAGAAGCGCGCTTTTGTTCCCCTTTCTCTTCAAGTATATCTCTAGGAGGCAGGAGAATCTGTATTTATCCTTCTCTTCACACAGCCTGTTGTATCTGGTAATATCTCAGACAGAGTAGGTGTACAATAAGTGTGGATTACATTCAGTTTTGCATTAACTCCTCAGACATTGTTTTAAGGAGATTCTACTCAATCTATTATTCACTTTATCAATATAAGAATCAGAAAATGTTAAGTTCTAGAGGGATCCTCAGGATCTAGTCCAGGTACCTTCCAGCTCTGGGTCTTTGGGTTCCCAGGAAAAACTTTGGGGAGGAATAGTTAGGTAGACAGTTGGGACTTCCGGCTCCCCACCCCTCATTAAGCAGATAAGCTCTGTTTTATAAGAAGGTTTCATATAGATGTTTTTTTGTGTAAGCAGTTTCATTACAAGGAAAAATAAGAAACAGAAAAAACAAAGCATGAAACCCTCTGATGCTGGTCTAACATTTCAGAGGTGAGGAAACTAAGACTTAGGTAAAGTGACTTGCCCAAGGCCGTACAGCTAGTAAGCGAGAGCAGTGCTTGGGGTCTTGACCTGTTTCCAGGCTCCTTCTAGTATATCACACTGCCTCCCATGAGGGATTATAAAATAGTCATCTAGCCACATCCAATCTGATTTTTTAAACAAGTGTTTTCAATAAAATTAACAATTTAAATGTGCCCATGAGACGGATTAGAAAGCAATCCAAAAGGTCTCCAACAAAACCAAACCCATTGCTGTTGAGTCAATTCGACCCTATAGGACACAGTAGAACTGTCTCATACGGTTTCCAAGGCTGTAATCTTTACAGAACCAGACTGCCACATCTTTCTCCTGTGGGGCAGCTGGTGGGTTCCAACCATCAACCTTTTGGTTAGCAGTCAAGCACTTTAACCACTGTGCCACTAGGGCTCCTTCCCAAAAGGTCTTAGTGGTCCTCAGTTAATGATTATGAGTTGGAAGAGGAACAAATAAACAGTCAAGAGAATTTATCTTAACTCCTTAGTCTACTGGTCATATTTCTTTTCTTATAATGCTCATCTCCTGTGACACTATAGTGTGTCTCTACCATTTGGTCAGATGAAGAGATAAAATAATTTTGCTTGCTCCATGCTTATGATACTTCCTCTGTATGAAACATCCTTGTGCCTTTCATTCATCTCTAGCTACCTATGCAATCAAAATTCAACACTCCATGAAATCTTTATGGATAAAACTATTTTCACTCTTTTAGTCTCCTCTAATGACAGATACCATAGAAGGTAGGTCATACTGGATATCAACATAATATCTCTCTAAAAGTGCAACACAGTCAGGTTTTCCTATAGGACTGGAATAAATTTTTCAGTGAGAAATAGTCAATGTAGTTGGCTTACAGTTAGGAGCCACTTTGTATGAGCAATATGTATTTTTACACACTAGAATCACGTGTAACTACAAGTTGCTTACTCTGTGAAAGGTAGGAGGAACAGCAGATTCACATGCCCTCATGAGTCTCTTACACCACAGTACAGATTCACCAACTGGAATAGCTTACACTTAAATTGTTCTCACTCCCACTCTCTTATTTTTTTGATGGAGGGAGGGACATAGGTATGCATGGGTAGCATTTACGGTTGCATTTGGGTAAATTATATGTGAATATGATTCTGACCTCAATACACAATGCTGTACACCTTCATGTTTGCTGTGTTAACTGGATAATCCAAATTATAAAATGTTACCCAAGTGAAGGACAATATGAGGCTCTAAGTAAAGGAATGCTCTAAAAAAATTTGTATATTTTAAGTGGTCCCATAAAACTAAACACCATGCCATCGTAACCTTTTTGAAGGCAACTACTTTCTTATTCACATTTCCATCCCCTACACCTGTTACAATAGAGCCCTGATGGTGCAGTGGTTAAGAGCTCAACTGCTAACCTAAAGGTCAGTAGTTCAAATCCACCAGCTGCTCCTTAGAAACCCTATAGGGCTGTTCTACTGTCCTATAGGGTCACTATGAGTAGGAATTGACTTGATGGCACCGGGTTTGGTTTTTTATACCTGTTACAAAGGAGTTCTGGTGGTACAGTGGTTAAGCTCTCCACTGCTAACCGAAGGTGAGCAGTTGGAATCCACCAACCACTCTGTGGGAGAAAGATGTAATAGTCTGCTTCTGTAGAGATTACAGCCTTGGAAACCCTATGGTGCAGCTCTACTCTGTCCTTTGGGGTCACTATGAGTCAGAATAGATTTGACGGCAACGGGTATATAGTATGGTATACCTGTTACATGTCAGACAAGTTAGCTGTATGATAAATGTTAGTTAATAAACAACAGCCAGACACAAAAAATTAAATTGTATAAAGATGTCTATTATTCACTATATTGTAGGAGACTGTTTAATGGTATTGAGGGGGGAAATAGTATTTTATGCCAGGTTCCCAGGAAGAATATCACTTCTGTATCTCTAGCATCTAGCACAGACTCTGGCACAGAATAAGTGGTCAATATTTATGATCTTAATATAACACTTACTGGGTTGCTTACTATATTCCAGGTAGTACACTAATTAATCCCTTTACATGTATATCTCCTGACTAAACTAATGCAAAGTCAAAGAGTTAATCAACTTTAGAGCCAGAATTTAAAACAAAATCTGTATGACTCTAGAACCAGGGCCCTTAAC